ATGACTTCATCATTTTCCTTATGACATTTCGCCCTCTGCAAAGGACTTAAGACAGAGTCGCAGCAAGGAGGCCAGGTTTGGATGGGAAAACCCCAATGAAAAGAGCCAGGTGTAGAGTTCAGGAAAGGGTGGGGTCAGTTGCTGGTAGTCAACTTGGAAAATGAGGATTTGGGAGGACATGGGGTGAACAAAGGAAAAGTGTTAAACCTTAAGAGCACCCCCGGGTGAGAGTTGCTATTTCATACCTGAAATATCTATGTATCTACTAGGTAACAAGTCTTGGGGTGTCACTCTGTGGGAAGAATCACAGCTGGTGCTAGAGAAGCAGTGGTGAGTCAAATGAATAAATCAACAAAAATATGGTCTCCTGCACCAATGGTGCTTTCAGGGCGGGGCAAGATTTTTTGCGTTGGTGACATTTGAGATCAGAGGGTGAATAGGCATTTGGAAAGCAAACATGGAATAGTATTCCAGAAAGGGAAAAAGAATAGCATGTATCCAGTCTCTAAGGAGTTAAATGTCAGGCATGCTGGAAGTAAAGGAGAGGAGATAGTATAGGTGGATGGTGTTGTATCAGGCATATCTTTTGTATCATGTATATCCTTTATGCATCGTTATATTCTCTGTCCCTAGGATGAATAAAGTTTGCAACTATAATTGGCATAAAACAACACTTATTTAAAATATATCATTTGATACACTTGGACATGAAATTCACACATGGAAATGCCATATTTGAGATAATAATATACCCATAACTCTCCAAAGTTTCCTCATGTCATCCCCATCCCAATTCTTCTTTCCAAGTATCCACTTGCATGCTTTCTATATAGTATATAGATTGGTTTTCATTTTCTAGAATTTTATACAATTAGGATAATGCAAAAGGTACATTTTATTGGGAGGGTCTGACTTGCAATCAACATAATGTTTTTGAGACTCGTGTATTGTTACTTATATCAATAGCTCATTCCTTTTTACAATATTTCTGCGTAATATCCCATTGTATGGATATCACACAATGAGTTTATCCATTCATTCACCTGCTAGCAGGCTTTTGGATTGTTTCCACTTTTTTGCTATTACAAATAAAATGTATGTCATGAAAATGTATGTACATAATGAACATGTTCATTAGTCTTCGGTAAATCTGCAGAAATGTAATGGCTATGCCTAAGGTAAGCATACGTTTAACTTTCATGAAATTATTTCTTAAGTGGTTATAACATTTTACATTTCTACCAAGAAGTACATGAAAGTTAAAATTGCTCCACAGTCTTGGTACAGCCATTCTTTAATTTTAAACATTCTAGTAGGGATGCTATCAATATATATCCCCAAACAGATTAATTTTTAATCATAATAATTAATGATGTTTGTATTTACCATTCATGTATTTTTATGTATGTATTTGCCACCTATATATCTTTGGGGAAGTGTTCATTCAAATATTTTGCCCATTTCAAAATGCAGCTATTGTCTTCTTATTGAGTAGTAAGAGATCCACTTATATTATATACAAGTTCATGTTATTGAATATATATTTTTGTTGAATAGTCAATGTTGTTGAAGATATAGTATAGATATAAGTCTATATTTTGAAGAGCAAACATTAATTTTCATGGTCTATTTTATTGATTTAAATTTTTTCATATTTCTTATCTTTTGTATTGTAGTTAAGAAATCTTTGTCAAGCCCATTATTACTAAGATTTTCCTCTTATGTTTTCTTCTAGTAGTTTTATGGTATAAAATTTTACATTAAAGTCTCAAGACAAGGTTTGTTTTTACGGATATGGCTATACTATTCTTATAATATCATTTTTAAAAAAGATTATTTCCCCTTTGAATTGTCTTGGCATCTTTTCATAAATCAATTGGCCACATATTTTTGAATATATTCCTGGACTCTTTTGTATGTCTATAGTGCCTTGATTACTATAACTTTATAATAAGTCTTAGGACAAAGAGTTTTAAGTCCTTCAACTTTGATTTATTGGCTACCAAAACACCTTTTGTATTCCTACATAACATTTAGAATTAGTTTGTCAGTTTCTGCAACAACAAAATTCTTCCTGAAATTTTCAATAGAATTGTACTCAATCTATCTATTAACTTGAGGAAAACTGACATATTAATATTATTGAGTCTCTAAATCCATAAACATGATGTGCCTCTTCATTTACTTGTCTTTTTAAAATTATCTCTATAATGTTTGGGTAGTTTTCAGGATACATGTACTATATATTTTTGAGATTGTATAAATAATAATGTTAATTTCTGCTTATTTGTTGTTATTAAGTAGACATACATTTAATTTTTGTATCATCTATCATACAACTTTATATCATGCAAACTTGTTAAGCTTCCTTACTAGTTATGCCAGCTCTTTATAGATTCTATCAGCTTTTGGCATAGATAATCATGCTATCTGAGAACACAGGTGATTTTTCATCTATTCCAAAACTGAATGGATTCAATTTCTAATTTTGCTTATTCCACTGACTAAACTTCCAGTAGAATATTGAATAGATATGGTGAGAGTGTGTATTCTTGCTTTTTTCCTGACCTTAGGAGAAAAGCAGTCTCTCTTTTACAATTAGGTATAGATATATATATATTCTTTATATGTGTGATGAAGTTCCCTTTTATTCATACTCTTTGAGAATTTTAATCAGGAATTAATATTAGATTTTAAGTAAATTTTCAGCCTAGTCAATAATTAAATTATTTTTATTGACTGTTAAAATTGTGAATCACATTTATTAATTTTTAAAATATGAAACTAACCTTGAATTCCTTATATAAATTCCACTTGGTCATGATGTGTTATTTTTAACATCTTGCTGGATTTGATTCCCTAAACTTTTGGTAAGAATTTTTGCATCTATGTCAATGAAAAATATATGTCTGTAATTTATTTTTCTCTTATGTCTTTGTCTAATTTTCATATAAGGCAATGTTGGCATCATAAAATAAATTGGAATGTCTTCCCTTCTCTTACTTTTAGTGATTGTGAAGATGCTGAGATGATAGAACACAAGTGGATCTAAAGCAATTCATCTTTTAAAATATAGCATTTTCTCTAATTGAATTATTCTCTAACTTTAGTGTGCATGAGAAATACCTGAATATTTTCTTTCTTTCTTTTACTTTTAAGCATTTCCTCAGGAGAAGGTTTTTTAAAGTATATATTTTTATTGATTTCAGAGAGGATAGGAAAATGAGAAAGAGATAGAAACATCAATGATAAGAGAGAATCATTGATTGGTTGCCTCCTTCATGTCCCCCACTGGGGATCAAGCCTGCAATCTGGGCATATGCCCTGATAAGGGAATTGCACTGTGACTTCCTGTTTCATAGGCTGATGCTCAATCACTGAGCCATACTGGCCAGGCAAAATTTTCTTTTTTAAGTTTAATTTAGTTTTTTCTATCACCGTTGAAAATTTTCGTTCTTACTAGACATTTTTATTTAGAAGGTTCAAAATTGATCCTTAGCTGACATTTATAAAGATAAACAAATACCCCCCAGTTATTCTGTTATAGTAGATCTGTGTTATGAGGGCTCTTAGTCTATTCAGTGGTTCTCAAAACATGTTTCACAGACTAGCAACATTAGAATCAACTGAGGATTTTTTTTAAATGCAAATGTTCTGCCCCCACTTCAGACCAACTCTGGGAGGGAAAGTAGGTGGCATTCTGCCCTTAATAACTCTCAAGGTGACTCCAATGCACACTAAAGTTCAAGAACTGCTACATTAGCTGATAAAAAAGGAATAAAGGCACAATTAATTTTGTATATTTTGTGTTGTACATTGAGATTATTTATTTTGCACTGACTTCTTTTTGTGTTTGACATATATGAAAGATCTTGGAGTCAGGAAGGAGGGTAAGTCAGATTTTGGGTAATGTGGAAAGTGTATGGATAATCTGTAGAACAATGGAGAAGTAGGCTGGTGAGATTGTAGTCTCTATTGGATGTCTGCTTCAGCAATGTGATTGTCAACCTTTATTGGTGTCCACTCCCAATTGTGCAGTCTTTTCTCTAATTCTAAACTGTTCAAAGTAGAGGGGTGAAAAAGGCAGTTTCTTAGATTTGTACACAGTTATTTTGCCAAATGAGAGAAGGGGAAGGAGAAATGGATTCAGTAAGTGAGGGTATTTGCAAGAGAGTAAATAACTGTAATCATGCACCGAAGTCTGTATGCTGTATAAGGAGAGACATGAAGAAAACAAGACAATAACAAAAATAAATTTCTGAGATCTATGGATAAAAGGTCTTAATGTGATGGAAGAACTGTTTCAGTTGACATATTTTGGAAAATGAGCTGGGAATATAAATAATAATGGCTGAGAAGTGAAATGCTTTTTTTTTAAATGAGTTCTGTTGTTTTTATGTGATAAGCTATAAGATATGATCTTGATAACAGCGATTAAGATAGTAGAGATGCCAGATCAAAGGTATAGAGGAAGTCACGGAATGGGTGAATAAACATTCACATACATATTGAAGTTCTTTTTCATTAGTGATGCCAGTCGTAAGAGTGGGTGAATGACAGCCAAAGACCAGATAATAAATGCGGTGATATCATAAAATAAATTGGAAGTTATCACCGGCACAGGAAAGCTCTGACAGACACACATTTTGTTTTGTACCAAATTATTTTGAACCCAACCATCATTTCAAAAAGTTATGTCCCCCATATGTCCTAACATCATTTGATGTCTTTTGATAAGATACATAATTGTGATATGTGAATATGAGGTCTGACTTAGCCATGCAAATCAAAATGTAGCAATCAGCTATCCTGCAGACCATTGCCAAGAAATTGCATGCTAATAAGTTCCTCATGTTTTCCTATTCATGACAGGAACAAAAACGTTTGCTTTGAAAGAAGATACCAGCTTAAAAGTACAAGGATGAAGATTGTCTCAGCTGTGCCCTGCTAACATTCATTCTATCAATAATTTCTTTTTTTTCTTTTTTTCAAATTCACAGAGAGTGAAGAAGTTTATCAAAGGCAGGTGCTGTCAATTTCATGTATCATCTTTGGGATTGTCATCGTGGGCATGTTCTGTGCAGCATTCTACTTCAAAAGCAAGTAAGACCATTTCTTTCAAGTGTTAAAGGTTTCTTCTCAGAGGAAGCACTTTTTCTTTTACAGAGGGATCTTGTAAAAATGGGCCCGTCCTACATTTAGAATAACTTAGAATCTTTTGTAGACTGTGGTGAGTGTACTAGTATGTTCCACATTTGCATGTATGTTCCACATTTGCATGTATGTTCCACATTTGCATGTATGTGTATGTGGTTTGTCTTTGATGCACATAACTACCATCCCTCTCTGTGCTCATAAAATCTCTGCCTTCTTTGCACAGTTTGATCACCTGCCAGGATTAAAGTCTCAACATTTGCCTGTGACTAAGGAGCTAACTCTTGTAATCAGAGAGGTTACACTGCTGTAGCCCTAACCATTATCAACCAGAATCTTTAGTTTTTCTTTAGAATCTATTGTAAAAAATCTACATAAAAATCTACATAAAAATCTTCCTTTCATAGTGTTTTTACCTGATACTAATAAAGGTTTTAGCAAAATGTGAAATATAAAAAAGTCATAAAATCTATTTTAGTTCCCCAGTTGGTATACATATCTTGAATATGTCCTATACTTTTTTTTTGCCAAGAAATCAGACTTTCTGCACATAAAGGTACTTATTTTTTACTAATAACATAGGCAAATATATATATATATATATATATATATATATATATGTCTCCATATGCAGCTATGTAAGTATATATGCATATCTACACATATCTTTATTTTTAATAAACTTTGAAAAAGACATTTTATTTATGATATTAGCAAAATATGCACTTAAAATAGGAAATATGGATAAAACTACTATATTTTTTGGTTTCTTGTAAGGCACGTAGGCTTGAATAAGTTGCCAACAATTCTATTCCTACAGCTTGTTGAAATCCAAGCCAAAGCTTAACTGCTTTTCATTGGACATGTATTTTTCTATCCATTTGTTCTTCTAAAAATGGACCAATTTCCAGATATAGTCTATTATACCTGTCTTCATGTATGTTGATTTGCAGAAAAATAATGGAAACTAGGGTCTGAATCCAGAATTAGTGACTATTATCTTTTAATAAACTAGTTCAGATTTTCAGAATTACTGTGAAAAGAGTACAGAGAGATTCCATATACCCAGACTCAGTTTCCCCTGTTATTGTCTTACATTAGCACGATGCTCTTAATATTGATACATTGTTACTAATTAAATTTCATACTTCCAGATTTCTTAGTTTTTACGTAATGTGCTTTGTTTGTTCCAGATGCCACATTATATTTAATTATTACATCTCCTAGGCAACTCTGTGTTGTGAAGTTAGTGGTTTTTTTTTTCTTCTTCTTTTTTTGTGTTTTTTTTTTATTGCTCATTTTATTATTTAAATTTTTATTGAATTTATTGGGGTGACATCGGTTAATAAAGTTATTTAGGTTTCAGGTGTTCATGTTTGTTTTAAGCACTTATTCTTTGTCAGAGATACTGAGCTTTTCATGCATTATGTTCCAATCCTTACATCACTTGGAAATGTGTTATTGCTGCATTTTTTAAAATATCAGGATTTAATTTTAAAATATTAAGTTGCCAAAGCCACACAGTAGAAAATTGCAGATGGAATCATTTTTTAAAAATGATTTTGATATTTTTCAATTACAGCTGGCACACAATATTACACTAGTTTTAGATGTACAGCATAGTGATTAAGCATTTATACCTTACCAACAGATGGGGTCTTTGAAGTTGCACTGTTCTAGTTTCAATCACATGCTTTACACCAACCACATTGGCTCATATAATCCTTTCATGGGGTGACACAACTGTTGGGGGTGAATGAGGAACACCCTGTTCTGTGCAAACCAGAGCACTTTCTAATTTTATTTTTCATGGCACGGTGGCTGAGATTTTACTTGTGTTCAAATCTTCAGGCTGCCACTTGCTTGTTATGAACTATTAAGCAAATTATATCCAGTCCTTTATCCTTGATTTCCTTTTTTAAAAAATGGCCAAAATATATCTCCCTTCTAGAATGTGTTAAGGATTAATGGGATAGTACTGTCAAAAGGACACCGCAGTGTATGAAAGAGTAAGTGCTCAGTGGGGCTTGCTATTGTTAACAGCCCCGTTTGCCACTCCTGAACTCAGGGGCCAGGTAACCCCAGGCGCAGAGTGCGCCCTGGAGCAGGAGACAGAGAGGTGCAAGGTTTTCCATGCTTTTGCTGTGCCCGAGAAAGAAATTGTGTATTTAACAATGGCAAGTTATTAGGAAGAAATACTTCATTGTTATTTTTAGAATGTGGTTTTTAGTTATACCACATTTATGTTTTTATTTTTTTAAAATATATTTTATTGATTTTTTTTACAGAGAGGAAGGGAGAGAAAGAGACAGATAGTTAGAAACATCAATGGGAGAGAAACATCAATCAGCTGCCTCTTGCACACCCCCTACTGGGGATGTGCCAACAACCAAGGTACATGCCCCTGACTGGAATCAAACCCAGACCTCTCAGTCCTCAGGCAGACTCTCTATCCACTGAGCCAAACCGGTTTCGGTACATTAAAATGGAAGACTGATGATCACATTCACAAGACTGGTGAACAGTGGGGTAACTGGTCCTTCTGTTGAGGGCGGCAGTGAGCTCTGGGACACCTCCTCCTGGGCTCAGGGAGCGGTCCGGGGTTTAAGGGAAACCTGTTCAATGGCAGTTTCATCAGGAGCCAGTGAAGGAACAGTCTTCCGGAGCTTGCCTTCTGCCTGCCCAGATGGGACAGGTTTTCATTAAAAACAAATAAATAAGAACATGTGAGAATAATAAAGTGATAATAAAAAGTGATGCCTTCCCCAGGTGGATTATAGTTCTCATTAAGAGTATATTTCCTTCTTCTATACAATTTCCAGGCCTGGTCTTCTTTACTGTTCTTTGCCTGGGAGGAATGCCACATCCCACACCAGGCATCTAATCTGCACAGCTGAGGGAAGCCTATGCTTTTATAATTCCCGGACCCAGTATTTGCTGTGCTGGTTGCTAGAATTCCAAGTCCCCTCCCAAACCTTGATCAGACTCCACCGTGACCTTCCCTCACTTTCATAGATTAAGGTTGTTTTCATGTGTATACTTTCTTTACCTCATCTTGAAAGCCCCAAGTTCTACGGTTGTAGGACCTCTCTATCACTGGTTTCCAAATAAATTCATTTGAACTTCCATCCTGTACACCAGAATACACTATTTCTGGTGAGAGAAAGTCTGGAGTTACCAAAAAGCTCACATTCTCCTGGTCACTTTTGTTTTAATCCCCATAATCCCCCAGTTTCCATCACTCTGATCCTTTCTCCATTCTCTTGTCACCCTTGTTATGGCATGACCTCACCAGATAGAATATTATCGAAAACTGTTTGCTGCTGAGGTAGAAATGACAAACACCTTCTTGAATTTAGATTTTCTAACTGAATTAACTAAAAACCCAACGATTCTGAAGGACTCCCAATAAATCAATACATTCCCCAAGTAGCTAATAGAACTATTAATTGAGCCTTTCAATCTGGCTGATATGGCTCACATACAACTATACATTCTCATAGGTTTTCTTTTTACTTTCAACTCGCCCGGGTAAGAAGGGCGAGCCTGGCTGTAGGAGTCCTTAGTAGACTTTGAAAATGCAGGACATGAAAGAATGAAAGAAGATGGGAGAGGAGGTGCTCTAGGAGCAAAGGCTAGACAGATACTGATCACAAGTGGGAAGACACAGGAGAAAAACAAGCAGGAGCTCCTGATACAAAGCAGACATTGTGGCAACTGCTCTGACCATCGGTGATCGCTCTCTGAAGTAAGAGATTGCAAGCCACAAAGAAAGCCTCATGAGGACAGCAGTGAATGCTCTGGTCTGCTGCTATGATGCTATCAGTGGGGAAGGGCTTAGTCCCCAAGTTGCTAAAACACAGTTGTGGTAGCAGTTACTTTTCTCAACACACACTCTGACTTGAGACGCACCACAGTTGGTGACGGTGTTGTGGGGTCAAACCCTGGAGTCAAAATAAGACCACCAGAGGCTGCTAATTGATTAAAAAAAGCAGGCAAGGATTTATTGAACTGGTCAGAATGGCCGAGAGAGCAACACATGCAGGTGGCTACACTCACGACCGCACTGTTTCAGGTACAGGCAGTCCTTTTAAAGGTCTAAACCACAAGAATTTTTCTTTGTTCTAAATTCTAAACTCTAAAGCACATGTGTCAAACACAAGGCCCGCGGGCCAAATCCGTCCCGCCAGGCCTTGCAATGTGGCCCGCACTGCGCTGTCATCACTGCACTCTGCTGCGTTTCCATCACAATGACAGTTTATGACTGTTCAGTAAACCATTCGGCCCGCGATTTAGGCTGGATTTTAGATTTTGGCCCCTTCTCTGATTGAGTTCGACACCCCTACTCTAAAGGGTGGGAAAACACAGAGTCCCAGCCACGTCCTGCTGGACGTTGGAATGTGGACCTATCTTGCGAAAGCAGATAATACAGAAGCAGAACTGAGTCAATTTAATCTCTAAAGGTTATCTGCAGTTTCAACTCCTGGAGCTATTGAGTCAGTGGGAATCAATCTCCTGTGGTCCTAGTCCACAGGCACAGGAAAACTGCCTTAGCCTCCAGGTCTCAATCTGGAAGCTGAGGCAACTACCCTATTGTTTAAGCAAGTGCAGCAGCCAGAATAGCAGGGCTAAAGTTCAAACAGCAGGTTTTATGTAAGTATGGGTGCTACCATACTTCAACGCTGAAGGCCTAGACTTTTGCCCCAACATGCGGTGCAAGGCCATGCCAGTTCCAGAACTCGCTGTGGGATTTACCGAGATCTTCATGGCATTCCAGCTTCACCTTCAGTCCGGTCCTGTTTCCCTCCCTTTGTCCTATTCGCACCAATCCGAAGAGCCCACCCTAGTGAGAATCCTGCACTCCCTCCCTCTGTGTCTACTTTCCCAGGAACCCCACCTGTGACATTGCAAATGTTTACCAACAGAGTTGTGACATTAGGTATGCCACTACTTCTTTTCCCTTTCTTCTGAAGAATTGAGCCAGAGACACTTAAAACTCGGTTAACTCTGCAGTGTTGACACTGACTTTGCTGGCTAGTAGGGTTCCAGTGTGCAGTGCCTGCATCTGGTCTTCCCCAGAGCAGTTCTCCTGAGAGGGCTGGTGGTGCAGCAATCATTTTCCTCTGTTGGCAGTTCCTGGGGAAAGTATGAAAGAGCAAAAATGTGTGTGCCTGGGGAAGGGCAGGAATGACACAGAAGGAGGCAGGTTCACAAAGGCATTAATTCTGTGCCCATTTAGATAAAAAATCTGAGGCACAGAAAGTTAGATTATTTCCCCACACATTAGCTGACACATTGATTCTGGAATATTAGTGAGTCTGGACTTGAGTGAAAAGGAAGTAAAGGAAAGTAAATGATTAAAAGGATTTAGGAACTGTCCTCAAACATTTTATTAACATAATTCCTCCAGAAATTTACATTTCCCAAACACTGAATTATGAAGTCACTGTAAGATAGTGTTTCTTATATTTAATAGTTAGGAGAGTAAGCCCTCTCACAGCTCCATGATGAGGTACTCAGGTGGGCCTTTCTGATCTCCCATTTGCTTCATCAGTGAATTCCTGATAGGATTTCTTGACTATGATGTGTTTCTAAAAATGCTGATGTGATTGATTTATTTTTAACAATAGGCTACAGATTAGCTGTTAGGAAGTAGATAAGTAATTACAACTAGATTAAAGCAATTTAGAGCACTGGAGATAAAAGCACCCTCCCCCCCAAATAATTGAAAAGATGAAAGAAATATTTAAATAGGGTGCATCACACTGGTGTAAATTCAAAAGAAGCAATGGCACTCAGAACCTCCAAATCCTGTGGCAAATGCTGAGCGATGCAGCTCATAGGATCTTGTCTTTGTTCTCTGAGCTAGTGTTCTAACTCCTCTGCAGCATCTGCCCGTACACACGTGCTAACTGGTGAGCCTGGGAGGAGCTCAGCATTCCGCATTTGTGCTCTCATGTTTAATTTCCACAGGATGCACCATTTGCAGGTGGAGAAACTGAGGCTCAGAGACAGAAAATTAATCTCTTTTGATTAAGGAAATCCAGACGAAACTAAGACTTGAGCCCCAGCTCTGCAGAGAGCTGCCCGCTGGAGACTCCCTGTCCTAGGCAGGGCCTTGGGCAAGAGGAGGAGTTCAGGGCAGATGACTCTGCAGAGGTTTTTTGTTTGTTTGCTTTTGTTTGCTTACTTGTTTTATTGGTGCTGAGTCTTCTGCTGATAGATAATTGCTGCAAAGCCCTTGGTACAGAGCAGCTGATAATGCAGTGATCTGTTGCGTCTTGCTGGTATAGCCAACCCACATACGCAGGCAGGGCTCCTTTATTTGGAGTCCAAATACTGAGAGTAGGCTCAGCCTTCCCTCTGGGAAGGGACCATGGACAAGTGCCTTGCAGGTTTTGAGTGGCTGTTAAGAGTACTGAAAGCTGAATACGTGGCCACACTGTTTGGGTCTGCATCCAGCCCTATTGCACTTCCTGGCAATGTGGGTGTGGGCAAATAATCTAACTTCCTGTGCCTCAAATTTCTTATCTAAATAGGCACAGAATTAATGCCTTCATCACACAGAATTATTGTGAAGAATAAGTTTAAAATGATTTTGGGACCAAGCTAGTTTGGCTCAGTGGATAGAGCATCAGCCTGCTCATTGAAGGGTCCCAGGTTCGGTTCCAGTCAAGGGCACATGCCCAGGTTGGGAGCTTGATCCTCAGGAGGGGGCATGGAGGAGGCATCTGATCAATGATTTTTCTCTCATCGTTGATGTTTCTGTCCCCCTCTCTCTCTCCCTTCCTCTCTGAAATCAATAAAACTATATTTAAAATAAATAAAATTATGTTTGGCACATAATAGGTACTATTTAAGAGTTAACTGTGTTTGTTAGTTACAAAAATGTTGATGACAACAATAATGAGCTGGTTCTAAATGGTAAAAAAGAAAATATACACACATTATGGTACACATGCCAGTCATGCAATCAAGCTACATACGCTTGACTTGTAAAGATCCAAATGTAACTTTGTAATATGTTATGTGTACGTGGCTGTTAGGTCCAAGCTTCATATTTTCCACTGGTCACTTCTTCAGAAGATTTCCAATTCTTTGCAGCTGACCTCTCGGGGTGAGGGACCCCTTGGCAGGGATCATCCATTACGTTTCTGTCCGCCTTTAGAACACCTGGGCATGAGTCCCTGCGAGATGATGGGCAATACCCCCTCTTTCCTAACTGGAAGGCTTTCTTGGTAGAGTTGAAAATAGGGAAGGATTCCCTTTAAAAAGAATTAAACTGAGTTTCATCTGGCTTTAGTAAATGGCAGATAATAGGAATGAGTGACACGAACAATATGCATAGCATACATGTATGTAACAATTTATTCATTTCTTTATTTAAACCTGCAGAAAACAAGCTAAACAACTTCAAGAGCAGCTGAAAGAACCGCAGAATGGTAAAAACTACAGTCTCAAAGCATCCAGTGCCATGGCAAAGTCAGAGCACTTGGTGAGGAATCATGTCCAGCTGCAGAATGTAAGTTACATGTCTCTGCATCTCCTCCCTCAGCCCTCCTCAGTGCTCCCGGGCCAGACAGGGGTGGGGAGCCTGCCATCAGACTTGTATGTGTATTTTCACAGTACTTTGGATATTTTTTTTTAACCATCTCGCAGTTCCATGTGTGCCCATGAACGCATACATGTACTGGATAAAAGAGAAAGTTAAATCTCAGACTGGATTACAATAGGTAATAGAATTTGTCTCTGGAAGCAAATGGAACTTCAGTTGTTTGTTCCATAATCACTTACTGAACCCTTACTTTGTGTCAGAAATGGTGCTGGCACCAGGGATACAGTGTTCCCTGCCATCTGGCAACTTACATACAGTGAAAACTACAAATACTGAAATCAGGAATGTGTGGGCTGAGATGGTTGCTATTGCAACAAAAATCAGAGAAGGGACCAAAGAGGAAAGGGGAGAGGGGTCAGGTGGAGGCTGCCTTTTAACAAAGGCAGATTGGAGCTGAGTTTTGAAGAATGTGAAAGGTTTTTCAGTCATAGGGCAGAGATGGGAGCAGAAAGAAACACTGAAGTCATGAGCCCTAAGAACACACCTCCAAGGGAAGGGGGTGAGAAAAGGCCAAGGTGAGAGAGGTGGCAGGTGGGTGTTGTGGACCCACAGTAAGTACTTCTAACAACTTGAAGTTAAAGGCAACTCTTTGAATCTTACATCTTTCTAAAGGAGTTTTCATCTTTTCTGAGATATACTGCAAAATGCTGAATCAAAGCAAGTGGATACCGCCTAGATATACTGAAATATTTCTCTCCTCTCAGCAATTCTGCCCCCACACAAAGTTGCACTTCCTGATTCTCAGGCACAAAATGAAGGAACAGAGGGCACAGTAAAAATCTAGTATTTGAGAATAATAGACAATCACCACGACACATTCCACCCCTCCAAATGCATAAATCACTGGGAATGTATACATCATTTGTGACTCCAAGATAGCATTACCCTAACAGTTACCATTTAGCTGGGCATAACAGATGTACTTAGATGTTTAATGTGGATTCATAAATCAGGATTGCTTCCCAGCAAAGTTTTATTTAACTTGTAATCAAGGCTATGTGTAGAGATTGTTCTCTTCTGAAACAGAGAGAATGCCTTTGCTAATGATTTCTAATGAGTATGATCCCGCCATCCTCAAACAAATGCAGTGATGGAGGGCTTCAATTCCTTAGCATCTGGGCCTGTCAAAGATAAGCAAAGCCAGCCACTAGCTCAAATAGTAAAGAGAGACTGTAATCAGTAAAATACTATTGCATTATAGAAGAGGGTCCAGTGTGAACTGAACTCAACTTCAGTTTGTTCAGAGGTGACTGAGTGGTAGTTGTTTTTGTTTTGTTTGTTTGTTTTGTTTTGTTTTAAATATATTTGTATTGATTTCAGAGAAAATAAAGACGAGAGAGATAGAAACATCAGTAATGAGAGAGAATCATCTATTGGCTGCCTCTTTTACACCCCCGTACTCAGAATAGAGTCTGAAACCTATGCATATGCCTTGACTGGGAATCAAACCATGACCTAGTTCCTACGTCGATGCTTAACCACTGAACCACACTGGCCTGGATTGACTGGGTGTTTTAAAGAAATAATGAGAGAATGGAATGGGGGAAACATCAGGAGCTTAATAGAATCAGGTGTCAATGTAAGAAATGTTTAAACCTGTAGTGGATTTTTATGAGTTTATTTGAGCAAAACTGACATCTTCTGGGATGCAAAATTTCAAGGGACTGAGAAAGCGCTCCAGGGAATGGCAGCTTGGCACCTTACTTTGTACATTACAATCAAAGAAGGAGGCCCAAGGGATGACATGAAATCCACTGGTGAATTAGGGAGGCAGGAGAAAGCAAAGCTGAGTATCTCTGGGATTGAATAAAAAAGTAAAATAAATAGACCCATACTTATTTTACATTTGTGGGTATAGGAGAGTTAACAGTTAACAATTAACACAATTAATAATAACAATGAGCTTTGTGATCTCCACTGTGGTGCCCTGAGTTGTGTGGTGGAGGAGGGGAAATTATCCTGACATTCCAAAGGTATGTTTACATGCAAAAGGTCAATAGACAGGTTCAGATAAGGTGAGGATTGACCTTTGTCAGGGAAGATACCAGCCTAGGACATGACTACCCACCATGACAAACCTTTAGTTAGGAACTTTTAATTTCAGACTATCCTATGGGGTTACTCTATGGCTCTGAGTTTGTACGGCCACCACCACACAGGGCTCTCCAGAGCTGTCACATTTAGTACATGGTCCCTTTTCATCTTCTGGGAAGTGAAAAATTACACAGTTGATCAGTGTAAATGCGATTAGGCCAACATTTATAGCATCTGCTGGCTGGCAATTATTCAGTTTAGGATTATATACTTCCTCAAAGACTGGGAGACAGAAGCCTTAGTCCTCTTATTGATTAGTTTTCAAAGAAATGGCTTTCAGGTCCTTGAGAGACATTCCTGAGTTGAAGGAGATCCATATACAACTCAGGGTGACAAAGAAAGTTTACAGGTGAAAGTCTTGTTCTGCAGAAGCTCTAGAAAAGGGAGGTTAGGGGCCCTTGTTCAAGTGTTGGCTGGAACAAAGGGTGAGTTATTTTGGAGGCCTTGAGGGTTTTGTTTGTTTGTTTGTTTGTTTTCAGAAAGACCCTCTAAGTGGGCCCAGGGTCAACCCTGAGATGTTATAAACTATGTTAGAGTTCAGTCATCTTTTAGTGTGGCTGTGAGTGGGTGAGCAGATGAAATAATTTCTACTGAGAATCTATAGTTTTATAGGCCAAAGTTGAGGTCTTCTCAAAAAGAGGGCTCAGCGGAGCCTGTCTAAAGTGTAGTCAAGCCCTGGCAGTGTGGCTCGCTGATTCAATTCCTGGTCAGGGCACATACCTAGGTTGTGGGTTTGATCTCTGGTTCTGGCACATATTGGAGGCAACCAATCCATGTATCTTTTTCACATCAATGTTTCTCTCACTATCGCTCTCCCCATCCTCCCTCTCTAAAATCAATTATAGCAATTAGTTTGCTCAAGAAGAAAGAGCATCTTTGCCAGTCTCTTTGCATTTTACAGGGTTACAGCAGAAAACACAGTTTCGTATCCACTTTTATTTTTTTCCTTTCACTAAACACAGGGGCAAGAGAATTTTCTGTCTGATCTATAATCTCCACATTCATTTGGGAGATAGCAACAAGGTCCACAAAGTGGCCACTTCATGATGTTCTTTCGTCCTTCCCCTCCTGGGAGACATTGATGTTCTTTCCCATTTTTTACTATGAAAGCAAAAGTAGAAGAAACTTCACTCCTGTGCTCCTCCCACCCATCATTTGATTGGATTTTTTAAAATTAGAATAAAAGAAAGAAAGCACTAACTGTAAGGATCCCAACACTTGAAAGACCTTGGAGTATAGATCATTTTATTTTTTTTCCTTTCCCTGCTCTCTTTCTACAGCCCATCCTCCTCCCCTCCCCCCACCACACACATGACATTTGTGTGTTTGCCCAAGGCAGCAAAGGGTGAATCCAACTGGATTATTCCCATAGAATCCCAGATAAGATATGGAAAAAGTGTCTTTTTTATATTGACTCCATTTTTTAATAAAGAGACATTTTGTCTCTTAGTTGTGATGTGGTCAGCTAGGATAATACATTTCAAGAGATCATCAGTCCACAAGTCTACACAGAAATTGGGAGTTCAAGCAGAGAATTGATATGAAAGGAAGGCTGAAAAAAGTGAGTGCATTGATGAAACATATGCATGCCAGTGTGGGGGACTAACAAATATTCTTTTCCCTCCCACCTTCTACCTTCTTCTAGCTGAGCTAATAATTCAAATAACATACAGCAAATTTAACAGGAGAAAATTAAATTTTAATATGTGCCTACAGGGAATTCACATAAGCCTGAAAATTCTAAAGACAGTGAAACAAAATTAGGTACATCTTGAAAAAAGGAGACCGGGTGGGGGGGGGTGTGTGTGAGAGGCTGGGATGGGGAACGAATTGAATAGGCTCTCAGACTTCAACAGTGAAGATGGATAATTTACAAGTAGTTGAGGAAGAGCAGAAGACACATGGCTTGAAAAATCTTGCTGGGCAACCCAGAAACAATGGGACACAGAGGATGATCTGCTACTAGGCTCCTGCTGGGAGCCTTTCTATCTAGCAAAATTAATTTAAATTAGACTGACATGATTTCTTTTCTGGAGCAAATCTTTTCATCTGAACCTCTTGGGCAGGAAAGAGGGAGAGTCAAATGTCCTTTTTGCATCTTTTGTTTCTTCACAACTAGCTTAAAAACAACAACACAGTTTTAGGATGGCAGACATTGGTCCCTTTCACCAACTATAGCATTCAATGCATTGCCAGCTTAGGCTCAAGGGAGTGCACAAACAGGTACCTTCTACCATAGCCTGGGATGAACAAGTTGTTTTCCCAGTGGCGCACATCAATTCCAGTCCTAGAAAGCAATGTGGGTCATTATTAGCTTTATTATCCCTTTGTCAACATTTATTTTGTTAATTTAATGGGAGACCATTATATATATATATATATATATATATATATATATATATATATATATATATATATATAATTATATTTCACTTATATTAGAGAGTTTAGTATAAAATCTCAGTCTATATATTTCTAGTCAAATTTCCACTTTGGAGATTTACATGCTGATACCCTTGCTCATAATTTTATTATAAAATCATATAAGAATTATTCTGTAATTTTTTATGCCCACCATTGGTTGTGTTGTTTCTGGGTCCACTTGGGCCAGATTTAGTACAGGTCAATATCAGATGTTATGTGTAACCAGCCTTTGTCTGGAGCTACCACACTGTTCATTGTGGCTGTCTACTGGCCCTGAGCATGCATGGGAGGGACCAGTCTGTGTATAAGTGTCAATCTGTAGAAGGACTGAGGATCCCTTCTATTCTGTCTTCCCCTGAGGTTGCCTACTCTTCCTCTAGACTTTCCAA